CTAAACCCCTGTGTGCAGAACAATCCCCCTACATATGACTCGTATAAATACAACATTGATGATTGACGCTCGCATACAAAATTGCAAGTTTTTATTAAAAAGGCTGCTGATTGTTTATTGTAGTTTTGACGAGAACGTTGCTTTAAAGCGGGAGGGTTGTCACCTGTGCACGTGACATTAAGTCCTAAGCGACGATAACAACACGCGCTAAAAACGTAAAGGTTCATGGGTAGACGCTTGTTTGTAAACAATGACACGCTATGGCCATCTAACGCATGCGCATGTAACGACTCCCCCGCTTTAAGTTTTACGCTCAATCAGTACTGTATACTCCCTTACCCAACGGAACTAAATGATTGTCATTATTGTAGCAACTTTCTTAAATTTCAATTGATCTCTCAAGCAGACCAAATTAAGCTTTTATTTTCGGAAGCCTTTTTTTGCTAACTTCATCTATTTTCAGGTTTTCTGGAAGGGTTAAAGCCACGGCATGATAGAGATATTACTATTGAAGAATTCAGTCTGCTTGATTTGAAAGAATCGCCAGCTATCGGTGCGGCTGTGATAGGTGCTAAAGAGTTTGATTATAATTTATCAATTAAATATCAAGATAACGTTGATGTATTCTTTCATCACAAATTCTGATTGGCTGTCGTACACCATGTGACTGATCACATGTCCTGTAGTCTTAATTGCAGTATATACTTGCTTTGCTCAGTAAATAGGCAAACATCATGGACCAACCACATTCCGGCATTTTCCTGTTTGTTCAACTGTAATGAGCTTTTTGAACATAACATTCCATTTAAACATCCCTGCCCTATCAAATGCCAAAAACACAAGTTCCTGCCATATTTTTTTTTATCTAGAATACGTTGTTGTTCTCATTGATTCAATATACATGTTCTATCTGGTCCATATGTAAAGGTGTCGGATGTAGTGAGAATTTAATTCTATTGTGAACTTTACTATAAAACAAGACCTGTCTAACCAGAACACCAAAAGGGATTATGAAAACTACTCAGTTTATGAAATGAAGTGGGTCTCTTGGAAGGCATTACAATTTAATATACAAACAAAATATTTCAATGTGCTTTTTTTGTTTTGTGCAATATTTCAACAGCCATTTGTCGGACTTGAATTTTTTAAACAAATTTCACATAGATAGCAAGTCAGAATAATATGTCTGATTGGCAGTCATTTTTTTTTACAAAACTTTCATTAAAACCCACAATTAAACTATCATTCTCGGACAAGTGGGTCGATTTTATGCAAATTTAGTTTTAAGTTGATACCTATGCATATCAATATTAATGAAGATCGTGCCATGTTGTGTTTAATATGGGTCACACCGCGACGTATTCAAAGCATTTTAAATATTTTGTTTGCTTGAACAGCCCTTTAAGAAAATCTATTGAGGTTCTGGAAAATGTGTTTGATTAAGATTGGTATTCAGTTTAGATTGGTATTACCTGATTATCTCTGGTTATCATTTATTTACACGCATACTGCTGGTAGCAAGTAAATATTTAACGAAATTATTGATGCATTCATATATATATTTTGATTTCCTGACGTCCTGATCAGTCTCTTTTAAAAACCATGTGGGTATCTGGAATTAAAAGCTTTTAAATAAAAGACAGTCTCTGATTGGCTATCAAGTACTAAAACACATGACAAACTAATCAGGGCATATCTTGTTTGAGTGCGTATAGAATTTCTGTAGATATTGTTGGAAAAGACTTTGGCATAAAGATACTTTATTTTCGCTTGGAATTAATTTTCGCTATTTTCGCTGAGAGAATGATTTAGTGAAAATAAAATCCAGCATATGCCTTTTTTCCTATATTTCACATTCAACTCATCAAAAATCAGTGAAAATAAATACAAAACTCTCAAACAGTCTTTTCAGCAAAAATTAATTCCAGCTAAACTAAAGTATTTTAAAGTAGTTCCTTTTTTATATAAACGTAACACATTGCATTTTGGCCATGCTAGCGACTAAAGTGAACAAACTGATATATATCGTGACTTTTAGAATCCAGTAACAGAATGTTGTATAAATGATATGATTACTATACATTATACATTGTGTTGTGTCATTGTACTGTTGTTGATGGTGCTATTCTCTTGCACACAGAACTGTTCAATGCATTATGCTTGAGTGAAAACATGATCTATTGTAAAAAAAATTAATACAGTTATAATTGTTGTCTTGTGATTGGTCAATTATAGTGGTCACACGCTAAATATGCAAAATATCCATTGATATTCTGGTGCAAAATTTATTTCATTAAATATGCAAAATATACTGTCCTCTGTATTGTGTTTAATCACTTAAATGGCATGAATCTGCATGAAATAACTACTGGTATAAATATATACTTTGTATTGTTTTTTTATTTTTTGGGA